TTCGCAGAAAAGTTCAGGCAGAAGGGGAAGGCCAAGCGGAACCAGAGCGCCCAGGACAAGAAGAGAGGCCAAGCGGGCCTCAAGGAGTGCAAGGACTCGCCCTGGCACGGCGAGAGCATCCGCGTCAACGAGGAGTGCGTCCACGAGGGGAGGCGCGGGAGAATCTAAGACGTCTGGACCGTCATGGACACCGAGGGCGAGTACCAGTTCCGAGTGCTCGAGGTCGAGACGTCGGCGATCTTCCAGATCCGCTCCAGCCAGGCTCGAGGGCCAATGGGGCGCGAGCGGAAGCCGAGCAGAAGGGCCAGCGGAAGCCGAGCGGAAGTTGGCGCAGAAACCGAGCGGAAGGGAACTCGCGCGGAAGCCGAGCGGAAGGGCAGCGGAAACCGAGCGGAGTTCGCCCCCATCCGTCGGTCCTCGAGCCTGGGAGGTCGTGGTCGAGGAGGAGTGGGCGAAGGCCAAGCCCGCCAAGATGGATTACCGAACCCTGAGGAAGGCCAGGCGCACCGAGCTGGCCAAGCACCTAGCCATCACCAGCTGCGAGTTCGTCGAGAAGAACAGGGCCCTCGAGCTCGGCACGATGAAGGCTCTCATTGGCGAGATCGCGGAACGAGTTGGCCAGCCGCCAGGCGTCGAGCTAATCGAGCCGACGATTGCTGTTCTCTGGGCTCGAGAAGACCATGGCGACGACGCGGCCACTGCCGAGGCGCAAGAGGAGCAGAAGGCCTGGCGCGAGAGGATCGAGAACGCCAAGGTTCTGCTCATCTGCGTCTGGTCCGACAACCCGATGCACTACACGTACCTCAAGGTGACCGAGGAGGAATTCCAGGACGTGGCCATCGAGTACCGAGACTCTCTCAAGGTGCCGCCCGAGTCCGCCAAGGAGGCGGCCACGAGAATCCTGCGCAAGCTCTTTGGGCCTGAGGTGGAGTGCCCCCCTCCGAGCAACTCGAGATACCAAGTGGATGGGTGGTCCTGCGGATTGTGGGTGACGAGGTGGTTCGAGCGCGCCCTGCGCGAGCTCCGCGGCGAGGGCCGCCAGCCGCCAAGCAGCATCAGCGACATCTGCGCCCGAGGTAACGAGTGGATCGAGAAGCTGAAGAACGCGAGCGACGCCAAGCCCAAGGGCAAGGCCAAGGCCAAGGCCAAGGGCAAGGCCCCGGATCCGTTCGCGCCCGAGCCCAAGCACGCCAACCTCGAGGCAGCGCTGCAAGCAGCCAAGGAGTGCAAGAAATGCTTGCAGCTCAAGGATGGCAGTAAAGGCTGCCGAGCGTGCATGGGCGAGCACTTCGAGCAAGTGCGCCACAAAGGCTTTTGGTCGAGGGCAGCCAAGGACTTCGAGCTCGCTTGCATGAAGCTTTAACCGCGAGAACCATCGAGCGAAAAGAACGTAGTTTCGAGGAGGTCTCAAGCGAAACACACAATTAGTTCGAGGATGTCTCAAGCGAAATAAACAATAGTTTGAGGGTGTCTCAAGCGAAATAAGCCATAGCTTGAGGATGTCTCAAGCGAAATACGCAATAGTTTCAGGATGTCTCAAGCAATAGTTTGAGGATGCCTCCAGCGAACTAAGCAACAGTTTGAGGATGTCTCACGCGAAACACCATTAGTTCGAGGATGTCTCAAGCGAAATAAGCAAGTTAGTTTGAGGGTGCCTCAAGCGAAATATGCACTAGTTTGAGGGTGCCTCAAGCGAAATACGCAATAGTTTGAAGATGTCTCAGCAATAGTTTCAGGATGTCTCAAGCGAAATACGCAATAGTTTCAGGATGTTTCAGGCGAAAGCAGCAATAGCTTGAGGATGTTTCAAGCGAAAACACAATTATTTCGAGGATGTCTCAAGCGAAATAAGCAATAGTTTGACGGTGTATCAAGCGAAATAAGCAATAGTTTCAGGATGTCTCAAGCGAAATACGCAATAGTTTCAGGATGTTCCGGCGAAAGCAACAATAGCTTGAGGATGGTTCAAGCGAAAACACAATTATTTCGAGGATGTCTCAAGCGAAATCAGCAATAGTTTGACGGTGTCTCAAGCGAAATAAGCAATAGTTCGTGGATGTCTCAAGCGAAACAAAGGATTTGTCGAGGATGTCTCCAGCGAGATAAGCCATTGTTGAAGATATGTTAATGAAGACTAAACGCCAAGGATGTCTCAAAACGTGCTCGGTTTGGTCTCCTCTTGATCATCTCTTACTTCGAGATTATGCTGAGGTCTGGTGGGCTACTTTGATTATCTCCCCCTGAACCCCGAACCTTATTATCCCCTAGTGTTTATTATCGTGAGCATGGGGTTACGCTGCAGGGCGAGCTTCGCGAGCGGGATCGCGAGCGGGATCGCGAGATCAGAAAAGCCCTGAAGAAGGCCGACCAGGCGGCGGTCGCTCGGGTCAACAAAACAATCGCAGCGGCTAAAGTTCCGGAGGTTTCGTCGGGCCAGGGGGCGCCAGCCGCCGCGGGGAAGCAGCGCCAGCAGCCGCGCGTGCACAACATCGGAGCAGCAGCAGCAGCGGCCGCAGGAACAGCAGAACCTGGGAAGGACCACCCAACGCCAGAGAGTGACATCAGCGATAGCAGCTGGGTCAAGCACGACGGGATCACCGCCAAGGACATCGAAGGCTCCAAGGTCGGTCGCAAGCGAGCGCCAGCTTCGCTGCTAGGATGGCGCGGGTGCGATGCACGGCGCACCTGCACCACGCCCGCAAGCAGCGCGCTGCGTGATAAGCGAATCAGCCTATTTGCTCAGGCGCGAAATCCAGACTCACCATCCATTCCACATCCTCGAGCGTACCGCTCTACGCGTCGATGACACTGCGCCGATCCAACGTAATGACGCTTTCATCTTTGCAGTGCCCTATGCCGCATAATCTCGCATGGTCAGTACTACCTGCACATCGTATATGGACTGTGCTACGTGCACTGGCAGGACGCACTTTGTCGCGTACCTTATATGACCAGAGCTCCATGCACATCGTATGCTACGCGCGCTAAGACGAGCGCCGTCGTGGACCTCATGCGGTCAGTGATACATGCACATAGCTCATTGCAACATCCACCCATGCCCCAGCGCCGCCCCCACCTCAACCCGCGGGCGCCTTGCAGCGCGGCACATCCGCCACGGTGTCCATCGCGTCCATTGTCCAGGAGATTCAAAACGCATCAAGTTTGATCGAGGTTCGCGGCCGCGGCGAAAAGGCCTTAAATGTCTGCACGAACATGTGTAACAGCACCCGCTTGAAGATCATGGGCTCATCTTCGTGGCAGCCAGGCTTTGCTCTGAATCTCTCCACGGTTGCAAGGTGTTGATAACGTTCTGAAGCTCTCTGAGGTCCCGCACCCCTCCGAGGCCCCACGCCCCCCCCCCCCCCCCCCCCCCCCCCCGAGGCTCTCTGAGGCCCTGCCCCTCTAATTGCAGCACGCGAGCGTCTTCAACGGCTCACCCTGCGGCGCGCGGAGGGGGGGGCCGCAGGGGGAGCAATACTCAGCGTGAACCCAGTCCACCTGCCAGAGGTTGTTGAGAGAAGCCTACTGGCGGACGCCATGGAGGATATGCTTCAGGACACCCGTGGCCAACGGTCGACCGCGCTCGCACGGGAGCATAAGCAGCCCATGCACGGGCGCGGGGCGGGAGCGCCCAGACGCGGGCAGCTCCTGCGGGCCCCCACCAACAACTACGAACCAAGAATGGGTCCCCTTAGAGGACCCGCGGTTGTCCAGAGAGCAGCGCGACGCTATTGTCGTCACGAGGTGGGCTTCGGTTAGCGTTCGCCACGCGAACTAGGACGACCTGATGAAGTGGGCCATCGGCCCCCTCATTGGCATTGAGCAGAAGCCCCATAGCATGCGACAGCCGTACCGCGATATCTAAGATTGGGCGATGCTTAAGAAATGCGCATGGCGAACGACCGAACTATATGTCGTTGTGAGTACTGTAGTTGTGAGCCGTGCGATGGTGCACCGCAACCAGTTGCGCGGGCGGGCCTTGGGCGGGGGTGGCCACGACGCCCCCGACGCACGTCGGCACGGGCACGGCGGGCGCACGCGGGCGGCGGCTTCTTCCGTGGAGCTCCAGGGCCACGACGCATGTGAAATGCGCGCGCAAACGGGCGCGGCGAACACGCGCATGCAGTTGGAGGCCACGAAACGCGCGAAGAGCGTGCCGAAATTGGCGCGGCGGACGCACGCGGGCGGGCACAGCTCTATATACGGCGCCACGAAAAGTGCCAGCGGCGCGCAGAACTGGGCGCGGCGGGCGAACGCGGGCGGTGGCGTCGGCGCCTTCGGGACCACGCAACGCGCGAGGGATGCGCCGACGTGCGCGCGGCGGACGGCGGACGCACGCGGTGGAATTGGGGCCTTCATGGCGGGGCCCGGGGCCACGCGGCGAGCGAGACGCGCGCCGGCATGGGCGCGGCGAACGGCGGGCGCGCGCGAGCGGTGTCCTTCGGTGCAGCTTCTCACACCTAATTCAATATAGGTATACAGATATACCTATACATAATATATAACATATTATATATATATATATATATTTATATATATATATATATATATCACCTTAACGGCGCGAGATGCGTGCCGACACGCGCGCGGCGGGCGCACGTGGGCGCTATCGGCGGGGATCCCATGAAACGCGCGAGCTGAGAACGGCATGGGGGGGGGGGCGGCGTGGCGGGCGCACGAGGGCGGCGGCGCCGAGGCCTTGCACCCCCCAACGGAACACGAGGCGATGACGACCGCGACCATGGCGGGGGAGGGAAGGAGGAAAGGCAGGAGGCACACTGGCCGCCGCCCCTTGAAAACGAAGACCCAGCACCACAGGATGGTTGGTAAGCGCTGGTGCCAAGTGCACATTGTTTCGACCCTTGCGCGATGACTTGAGTGGTCCAACCAGGTGCACGCGTGAAGTCGTTGTTCGGATGTCAGCAACCCTGGACGGGTACGCACACAGACAGATTCCCCGACAACCCCGTCGGCGCGCATTGATGGAGTTCCACTCGCAGGCAGATCCCCCGATCGCGCGGGCCAACCACAGCTACGCATACCTCAGCCAGCACATACCGCTGCGTAGCACCAGCAAGCTGCTCGAAGACGACGCACGTCAACTGCAGGATGCAGAACGCACCGGCTCTGCGCAGCAAGCACGCGCCAAGCGCGCGCAGTCGACCGGTCGGGCGGCCACCGCTGCAGCAGCTCCTCGCAATGATCTCAACCTCACGGACATGGGGAAGCACGCGCACATGTCCGACCCCTCGCAGTCATGGCACGGCGGCGGAGGCTGGGACCCCCAGCAGTCATGGGATTCGTGGATGAGCGACCCATGGCCAGAGCGCAGGCCCAGGCTTGCGCTCGAGAGCGGGCCAGCCCCAGCAGCAGCATCAGACCTCCCTGCAGCATCAGCAGCACCAGCAGACGCCCCTGCAGCAGGAGCTGTAGCAGCGGACGCAGCAGCAGACGCTGCAGCAGGAGCTGTAGCAGCAGACGCTGCAGCAGGAGCTGTAGCTGCACAGGAGGAGGAGCACTCGTGAGACAACTGCGACATGGCTGGCGCCGCAACCTCAGAGCACCACAAAGAGTCGGCATTCAATCGCCTCCTGAAGAGGCCCGCTGCTGCCAAAAAGCCAGAGGCTTCTGATACAGCGCTGATGAAAAGGCCCGCTGCGTGCACTGCAGCGGCTGCGGGCGCGACAAAGAAGCTCAAGCACACGATGCAGTGGGATAATGCCGACAAGAAGAGCATCGGGAACGCGCTCGCTTCGGGGCACCACGGCAGGGCGTCATCGCTGGCATGGCACCAGTTCCCTGGCATCAGCGATACCGACCTGAAGGCGACCATTCAGAAGGTCTACAAGGACGCGGCGGCCCCCCGGTCCAAGCGCATGGGCTGAGGACCAGTTTCGGGTTGCACGCAGGAGGCCCGCCCCTCGACCTTCCGAGGAAGCGGCGTTGCGCATGCGACCGAAATTGGTCGAATGGACGCGTCGGCCACGTCCGTGGGGACACGTCCGCTGGACAATGACTCTGCAATCCTTCCGGCCGTGCGTCTCGGCCAAGTCCATGCGGACACGTCCTTCGGACAATGCGCGTTTTGTCGAGTAGCCGATTAGGCTCGAGCCGTCGTGGCACATGCTGCAGGCGGCTGCAGCATCAGCTACTGAACCCGACCTCTCGCGCGACCATGACGCCGAGGCGCAATGCAGGAGTTAACGTTCCCGCCAACCTCCAGCGGAAGCTCGACGCGCGGTAGGGAAACGCGACGGCCGCTAAGAAGACGTGCAAAAACATGCAGAACAGGTTTGCGAAGGAGGACGCCCTCTTCTTTGAAACGCAAGCTGTGCATGACCAATGCATGCCGACGTCTATCAGGGCGCAGTTCCCAACTGCAGCCAAGACGCACAGGATGGCGACGCACACGGTCAACAAGCGCAGGCAGCTCGCAACGGGGAGGTCTCCGCCTGCACGCAGGCGCTGCGTCGAGTCTGAGGACAAGCTGGCCGTCGCTATGAAGGAGCACATCAGCATGCTCAAGCCACAGCCGATCATAAAGGACAATTCGACGCGGACATCGACCACGAAGCCGGGCGCGCTGTCGAAGCCTTTCACTCCGGGTTCGGACGACGGCGCCCAGCCCCCGCCCCCCCCCCCCAAAAAAAAAAAATGCCCCCCCCCCCCAAAAAAAAAACAAAAAACGAGAGGAGAGAGAAAAAGGAGAAGAAGAAGAAAAAGAAGAGGGAAGAAAGAATAATAATAAGTAATAATAATATTAATATATATATATATATATATACATATACATACATATACATACACATAATATATATATACATATATATATATATATATTATATATATATATTTAAAAAAAAAATCTACATTGGCAGCGCCAAACGCGGCGCAGCACGACATCGCGAATATGCCAGTCCTTGTGGGCGCGCTATAGGATTCAGGAGGTCCACAGGGCTGCCGCCCTCTGCAGCCGAGCACATAGGCTGAGGACCTGTTTAGGATCGCAGCTCGTTTCGGACTGCAGCTGGTCCGATTGCGCCCTCTTCCTCGGCGAGCTGCCGTCTTCTGCAGATGCCGGGCGTGACAGGCGCCTGGCATGCATGTGTAGTCGCGGCTGGAACTTGCCAGCGCGCCGTTAAGTGGCGCGGTCAATGTTGCCCGACCGCGCCCCCATCATCAGTTCTGCAACCAGCCGAAGCGCTGGGTCGCCAGAAGGCGCACCGAAGGTGACCAGTCATCGCATTCAGTTGAAGGAGCTCCGCTCAAGATGAAGTCCAAACGCAGCCTGGCGAATAGCCCAACCACGCGCAGTTGCGGGCACCGCGTCGCGGGCGCAGAGCTCCCGACACGGGGCGCGATCCTCGCGCGCCGGGGGGCGGGGGCGGGGAGAGAGGAAGGGGGGGAGGGGGGCGGGTGGCGGGGAGGAGGAAACCATGATGATGTTACGATCGCTTGGTTGTCTGCTCGGGATTGCAAGGCCAGGCGGCGCGCCGCGGGCGCGAGAGCGCCCACATGCCCGTCAGCGCGTTTCCGATACGGCACGGCCCCCAGGACGTCTGACAACGTGGGCACGCGGTTCCTCAAGGGCGCCCCGATGCGAAGCCACCCATTGCATCAGACACGGGGTAAATCGCGACCAGGGCGCACAGCTCGCCCACCACTTCGGCCGTATACCAAACCAGCCCCAGCACAGAGTTCCCCCGTTCGTGTCATCATGACAACCCCATTGGTGCGAACGACCTCGAACTTGGACACCCTAGCAGACTTCGCAGTCTTGCACGCGTTCTTCCGGACCGCGGGGGGGGCCAGCTCGGACACGGTGAACTCCGCCATCTCATCCTTGGCTGACTTCGGGCCCAGCAGCTCGACGCTGAGATCGAACTTGTCATCCGACGACGCCAGGTCGCGAAGGTGCTTGCACGTCACCTCGGACAGGACACTCTTCCCCATGGAAGCTGCACTGCGCATGCCCTCCAAAAACCTGGGGCGATTATGGCATCGGCCGATCGCTGCGCCCTGGGCAGGGCCGAGATGCGCGGCTGATGTCATAATCAACCGAGAACCCTTTGAACATCTTGTGCTTCCTTTCGTGGGTCCACCACGCCGGTGGAGTGCCGCGCCCCCTGCGCTCGACGACCCGGCGCAAGGACCAATGGAGCTTTGGGCGCAGGCGCGCGCCCCACCCTGCGCCCATGCACGCTTGCAAGACCCTGTCCACCTGGACGCTGGGACCCCTCGTCCTCGCGATGACATGCGGCACGGCAATCAAGTGGTCCACGTGGACGAGCACGCAAGGCACGTTTCGCACTCCTTGGCGCAAATGCCTGCACTGAGCCACACGTCCCGCACAAAGTGCGCGATCATGCCGTGCATAGAGATCGCCTCTGACGCAGTGCACTTCACGCACTTGGCCTCGAAGCGCGCCTTCCACCTGGACGGCGAGAAGACGTCGACGAGGGCGGCAATCTTCGCGCCCAACCTTTGTGGAAGACTCCACTGTCCCAGGCGCTCGTGGACAGCCGTAGGGGCGCGCACCTTCTGAGCCAGCAAGCCGGCCAAAAGGCACAGCGTCGCGCCCCACCCGCCGTGCACGACGAACGCGCGCATCCAATCACGAGCGAAACAGCCACGAGTTTCACGACGTTGCGCAGGTCCCTCTCCAGAAGGAGGTTGAACCTGGCGCGGTTGGTCCCCGCCGCCACCTCTGGGAGCTTGAGCTCGGCAGGCCGTGTCCTAGCGATGACCGCCAACCTCTCGACGCTGGATCGCAAGTCATCGTCCGTCGCTAAGTCCAGGGCGGACCCGACGGTGACGTTGCACGACAGAGTGTATTCCCCGCCCTCGCCCGCGATCCCTATTGTTGTTGAATGCAAGTTTTTGCAAAGGACGCATGCTTTATGGACCGCATCACCCTTCACGCAGAAGACCTGTTTGTGGGCGCCGCCGTCCTGTAATATCATGGTGAGCTTTGCGAAGAGCCTCGTGCTCGAGCCGCCTGGGAAGTTCAGATCGACTCCTGCGCCGAAGCTTACATCCCAACTCATGGGGGGTATGCGTTGTCGCGAATGGTGATGGCAGCGGCCACTAGCGGCCACTAGCGGCCGTTAGCGGCCACTGGCGGCACCCAGTCGACGTTGCCCGCAATGCGCAAAAAAAAAAACTGCAACCCCCACTCGAATTTGGACGGCCGCGAATGCGTACATATCCCAAGGCGGGGTCAACCCCCCAATATCCGAGAACGCTTCAAGAACCCACCCAAAACCATGCGCTGTTGATGGCTTGCGCTGTTGACGAATTAAAATATCGAGCGGCGGCCGAACACACGATACATATATTCGTCGCTTATGTGAGGTTCGTGGAGGTGGGAGAGGGCATCCCTTGTCACCCTTCAACGGTTGCCTAGATGGGTCAACATCGAGAACCCCCCCATCGGCAGCGTCGCCACGATTCGAACAATTGCAACGGAAGGTGTTTGCCTGGCACGGTGGCGGGCCGTGCCGCAGGCAACTAGATATACCCCCGAGGCGCAACAGTCCTGCAGGGCGCTTCTTGGATGGGCTTCAGAATTCGCACGTGGCCGCGCGAGCGCACGAAGACGAAAAGGATGTGGTTGAGCAGTTGAGCGAATGCCAGAGGAGGACGAGGAGGAAGAGGAGGAGGAGAAAGACGAGGAGGAGGAGGGGCAGGAGCACGAAGAGGAAAAAGAGAAGGAAGAGGAGGAGGAGGAGGAGGAATAGCGGAGGAGGACGAAAAGGAAGGATTCGAGGAAGAGGGGGGGGAGGAGGAGGAAGAGGAGGACGAGGAGGGGACGAGGAGGAGGAGGCCAGGAGCCTCTGAGAGCCTCGCGGAACCGCCCGACGACCGAACAACACCTGGCGAGATGGGCGGCCTCGTCGACGCCCAACGCCCGTCTGCGCCGGGTGCTGGGATAGGGCGGGGCTGTCCACAAAGGCTGGGCGAACTCGTCGCCGCCTACCGCCCGCCCGCGCGGGGCGGTGGGAAACGACGGGCCCGCCCAGCGGGCGAGCCCCACGAGCAGGAGAGGGAGGATAGGAGGAGGAGGAGGAGGAGGAGGAGGAGGAAGAGGAGGAGGAGGGAAAGGAAGGAAAGGAGGAAGAGGAGCAGGAGGAGGAGGAGGATCAGGACGCGGAAATGGAGGAGGAGGGGGAGGGGGAGGAGGAGGAAGAGGAGGAGGAGAAGGAGGAGGAGGAGGAGGAGGAAATGGAAAAAGAGAAAGTGGGAAAAATGGAGGAGGAGGAGGAGGGGGGGGAGGAGGAGGAGGGAGAGGGAGAGGGAGAGGAGGAGGAGGGAGAGAAGGAGGAGGAGGGA